TACATTATGTGTGGTTTTTGCTTTGTAATTCTATTTATATTTCTGTGTTAAGGTGAATATCCGTAAAGAATATCTTTGAATTATATGCCCCTTGGGATCCAATGACAACCACTGTGCAGCATCTACAATGGTCAGACACATAGAGATAATCCCTTCGAATAGTTAGAACACTGAGAGACAATCCCCTACTTTTTTTAATGTTGCACTGTAGCCTACTAAAATAGAAAATAAGTAAACCTTGAGAAAAGCATCACTAAAATCTAAAAATGTGTGCTGCGAATTATTAGTTCTACATGGTCACAATTATATGATAATTTAGTCATAAGTGTGTACATTTTTTTCAGTGAAAAGATGTCTAAAGCAGAATATGATGTTTTAACTGGTTGGTTTGATTGGATTCTTAAAAATCAAACACCTAAAGTCGACAGCATCAGTGAGTTTTTAACATTTTTATTATATTATTTCTTACTGTCATAACCTACAGTACTGAGTATGGAAACAGATTTGTGCTCCACTTGCACTCATTCCTGGGGAACTCACTTGTATACCAACCTTACGGGGGGTGCAGCATCCACTCAAAGACATGTGACACTTGAGCTACCTATTTTACCTACCATTTACCAAAATCTGGTGTCGGTTGAACTACTATTACAGCCATGTAACCTATCAAATTAAACTTGTACTGGTTCCCGATGACGAATAAGACTGCGGTTCTGTCTGTTCACGATCCCCACAGTTCGTGGCTATGTATCAACGGTAGGTTTAGCACGGAAGTTAGCAAAATATCTTTGCTAAAATCCTGTGAAAAATTATGCTACTTTGATACGGGACAAGGTGGTGACTTTAACCACCAATTTTACCTAGGTATTTCCCACACTAAAAGTGCTACCAATTCCTCACAATTATACCCTGTACATGCTGAAACTCTTCCATAAGTCCCCACACTTTTGCTACCAAGTCCTCAAAAATACCCCCATAAATGCGGCACCTACCCATATAGAAATATTTAAGAGTGAGCGCCCGGGACTCCATTATAAAATATTAAATTTTGTCTCCATAGTTTATTTGAGGACAACTCCTGAGAATTGTCAGCGCCGTATCAAGGAGCGTTCCCGTGAAGAAGAAAGCTGCATTCCTATTGAGTATTTGCAGCACCTTCATCAACTCCATGAAGATTGGTTAATAAACAAAACAAAGTTTCCTTTACCAGCACCTGTCACAGTAAGTGCTATATGCATGCATATTTTATTGTTAATTTGACTAACAAATCCAGAGCTAGAGAGAGTGTTTGACCAGGTTAAAATTAGATGTTTCTTTAGTTTGTTTTTTTGAGAGTAATAAAAATAAGAAACCAATATAAAAAAAGTTAGCAAATTACATTTTGAGACCCTTTTGTCAACCACATAAGAAACAATAAATTTGAAATCTAACATTTAATACCCACATATACAGTATAGTAATATATGTTTTATTACAGTACCTAGAAAGTACATTGTACTGTTAGGTGAGACTTTTTTTATACCTTGTTTAGTGAACCCATTGATGGCAAATACTGATGATTTCAAATAAAAATAAAATTTTATTTTTGGCCAAATAGCGCACCTGCTGCCACGAAAAAGTGGAAATTTCAGAAAAAAATAAAAGTTTTTCTTTATTTTTATTACTCCCTCCGCTGCCTTGAAATAGCTCCAAAGATAAGATGTGTATATTTCTTCCTAATTATATAAATTTGAAGCATTTAACCATCCTATTTTACATTCATCAATAAAAAAAAAATTTTTCTCCTCCATCTGGATGTTTTTGGCAAAATTATTTGCTAGATAAGACAACAAAATTTTATTTTTATTTTTATTTAGCCCTCTTCCGATGATCTTTAAAAAAATAAGTACGCGAAACAAGGAATAAAAAAAAATTTCGCCTTATGTTTAAGATTTATCTGCTACATTATTATTATTATTATTATTCATGGTATATTTTATTCAAAACGATACAAAGAGTACGATATACTTGAGTATAGGAGTAAAACACAGCCTACTGGAGTAAGCTTCGGCTCCCAAGTTAGGATAAGCAACATCCGGGAGGTACTTAACAATGCAGCAGTTCTCAAACCTTTTGGTCGACGACTGAAGCAAACGTCCAGGCATTTTAGCACGATCCACTTCTCGGGAAGTTAAAAACAAGATAGGCCTAAGCCTACTTAAAATAGGTCATTAATTAGTAAACAAAATTTTTTTTTTTAAAAACTTGCATCCTTTTACTTTATTTGACAATGCAATTTTGGTCAAATCCTGTAGCTTGAGAACCGCCAGTTGAATGACCTAATGAGTTCAAGGAAACAATAATGCAGTGGTAAAGCACTTTTTGCAGTTGCAGTATATGGATTAGATTCTGAGCGATTTTTGCTTGCTTGCAATAGTGATTAGAACATGAATACTTTACTCCAGTAATGATTGAAAAAATATTCATAACCGTACACTTATATTTTGTTACTGTATTTTACAATTTGTTTTGGTGTTTGCTTTCAGGTACTAGATGCAAATTTGACACTTGACCAGATGTTTGAGATGTATACTAAAGACCAGCACAAAATTCTTACAGCCACTTGATCAACCATATTTTCATAAAAATGGAAAAAGGTAAAACAGGGAGTTTCTGCTGTACTAGTTGTCAGCAGCACTCATGTAAACTTTCACTGTCAATTATGCAACTACAAGCAACTAGGTAGAACTGGAAAATAAAAGTGACTGAGATCAACCTTTGCCTCAAATCGTACAACTCGCAGTTCTGCCAAGGTTAAAGCCCCATTCCCAGCAAAATTTCAGTTGTTAAGAAAAATCTAATTTTTGTATAATGTTATAAAGATTTATAAATATAATACAAAATTGCTAGTTTAACTAAATTTGACATTCCTAAGCATGAAAAAAAATGTAAAATAAGACTGAAATTTGATTTTTTTGTGTTCCACACGAAAAATAAATGCGGATGAATTTTTCATGTTGATTTTGCGATAGGTCGTGCAAAGAAATATAGTAGGCGCCGAAAACATTAGTCTATCCAACACTGCTAGGCTAGGCCTAGCCTTACCTCGATTTAGGTTCTGTTATCACACATAAAAACGGCCGACATGATATTTTCCATTGCTAGTATTGACACTTAGGAAATATAATATTTCATAGGAATTATTTCAAATTTGTTAAAAAACTGATTCTGACCGAGATTTTGACACTTAAACAAACATATCTCAGGCCTACTCGAACGACCGCACTGTGCGAGATGCAAAGTACAAAAACTAATCCCATTAGAGAGGGCGCACTTTATTGACTGTATAAAGTATACAAAAAAGTGAGAGTATTCCAGCGGATGCGATCTACAACCTCCGAATTTGCCTAGTAACGAAGAATTCGTCGAGAGAGAAAATGGTAATATTCTATGAGAAATAGTCTGTATTTACCTTTTTTTTTATTCTTTTGCATAAAACTAAAATTTATGCCAATATTTTTTCATGATTTATAATAATTGGAGTAATGCATATGCATCTTTTCTAACAAAAATCTGTTTTTAGTGAAATTTTGCCGGGAATGGGGCTTTAGGGTCAATGAGTTGAGTCAAGTCATTATTACGGTAGCTTATATTTAAATGTACTGTATGGTATATTTCTTTTGTGATGAACATGACATAAGTTTTGAGGATTACTCAATCTGTTTAGGTGTGCTGAACTACAATGTCATGTAAATACTGTACTGTATTTGGAATCACTGTTGACTCACAATATTTTGTCTAAAAATAAAGTTTTATGCATGAAATAATCTAAAATGAGCACACTATGAACATATATCATTTTTACATTGTTTCTTGCCAAATAAAATCTTTTAACAATTTAATTGCTAAGCCTATTTCCCTTGTCATCTTAGGATGTACATCAATAGTGCGTCTGCTGATATACAGTAATAATATTTAAACCATTCTGAAATGCTGGTTAAGAAAAGGTGGTATTAAAATCATGTGCGGGTGTAAATAGAGGTTTATAACTGTGCTTTGGTTAAAGGCTTGAGAACCTTCAAGATTCCCAATTGCTTTGCTACTTTATAGATTTTTCAAAAATGGGCAAATTGGACAGTATTTCGAAAAGAGATCACAAACCAAAAGCCTATGGCCTTATGTGCCACATGGAAAAGGATAGGTGAGATGAGGTGGATATTAGGGCTGCAGGTAATGGCACCCCTGCCGTACCGCTCTACTACCCCAACTCACTTGAGCCTACAGGCAATCCGAGAATGGTCTCCCTTCCAAATATTAATTGGGCCCAACAATGCCTAACTTTTATGATCTAACCAAATCCAGTTTCAATGCTGTATACTAAATCTTATAGGCTGGATCTACAGTACTGTATATTCTCGCGTATACAAGACAAGAAAAAATTGGAAAACAGGGGGTCGACAAATACGTGCAACACATGCACATTTTTATTTTCAAATCATGTTTGTTTTATGTGTGAATCATCTGTAAAACTCAAATGTACTACTGAAATGAAGCTACCAACTGTTTGTTCATTAAAGTCTATTTATTGTAATTGAATTTTTTAAGTTTCTCCAATTTTTTGGGGAGGCAGTACATATTTAAACTGAAGAAAAAAAAATTAAAATCTTCTTAAACTTTTATAGGGTATATTTATATTTCAAACTGTATGTTCAGTGCATCAGTGTTCTTTAAGGCATACATTTGTGTAATTTTTTTTTATATTCTAATTACTAGGAAACTAAGAAGACCTTTAAAGCGCTCAAGTGTGGTTTTATTAACCTTGTTATTATTATACAGTATTTACCATTGCATGAACCAAATTTATAACCAGGGAAACAAAATACATAAGACTACAGTAATTTAAAACGTCTGTTGAATCTGAAAGCTTATAAAATCTGGCAATGAAATATTGTATTGAGACTTTCTGTTTTCTTAAGGCGGGCACTAACTACGTTGTTCGACCGAGCACTAGAGCACTAGATCATGCGACTCCGTTCGATGATTGTCGGTGGTCCTCTGAACGGATCGTCATTAAAAACGATCTGTTGAGCGTGTCGTCACTTTGCGTTCTTCAAAGAATCTCGTCGGTGGGCGACCGTCGGAAGTAGTGAGTGCCTGGCTTTAGATTTTAGCTTAAATGAATCATAATTTTTAAAGATGCACACAGTAAACATGGTTGGCCTACATGTATTTATGTATTATTTATGTTTTGTACTTTTGTCAGCAATATTGTAACAGTGTATGTTCTCAATTGTTAGGTTCGAATCTATTCTTAGTATCTTTGTACAGTATTATGTTAACAAGTTCATGCGTAATAAACTACAAAACAGATAAATGTGCTATGAATACCTTACTATTTATTCTATGTGCAGTGGTGTTGCAGAGGGGCCCCGAACTGTTACTACTACCCAGCATTGTAGTGCAGAGTCTTGACCAAATGTGATCTCAAGGGCGAGTCTCCAGTTTAAATGGGCCACAGGGCCTCTTCTACTAATACCCAAATATTCTAAGAGAATTCACATCTTCTATTAAATTCAAGTAATATTATTGTGTTGATGATAAAAATAAAGTACTGCTGTGAAGGGGGCCCTTCTACTGAGTAATTGCTCTTACGTGGCACCCATACCTTGAACTATTTATTATTTATTTATTTATTAACAATATTCGGCACAACAATTACAAATCAGAACATGGCCAGAGGGGTGCCAAAAGGACACCATGGGCTGAGCCCAACAAAAGGTGTGGGTGTCCTCTAAACCCCCTGGCCAAGCAAGCATACAATAAATATCAAAACAGCAAAAAGGGAAAGACGACACATCAGATTAAAATAGCCAATAAAAAGATTGATAAAATAGATGAAAAGGTAACAGATTAAAGTTCAAAAATTGGCTTACAGGATTTCATTCTGCAAACCGCAACACAATTAAAATACGTGTACAAAGAACTTGGAGTGATTAAAAAGCCAACAAAATTTAAAATGCTGTTTAAATTTGGAATAACTACAAAATTTAAGAATATATACAGGATGAGTAATACAGACTGTAAGTACAATTTAAGAGAGAAAGAGAGAAAAATCACTGTGAGGTAATTAGCTTAGTGACTATTGTTGAATCCGATCCCCATGTAGCAGCGGGTACTACCATTTCGATGTGAGTTTCAGTCAGGAAAATGTCATAGGACTCGCATAGGCGTAGATCCCGGGGAAGGGGGATATATCCCCCAATATTTGACAAGGGGGATGGTCCATTGTATCATCCCCCCC